GCCGGACTTCTTGGGCAATTCAAAAACATGATAATGATTGACCGTTGATACTTTCCGTTGATAAAGCAGGTAACGTAAGGCAGCCAGATCCAGTTTCATCTGTTCGGCAAGGTCGGTTACGGCATTAAAAACAGGCAGGTTAAATTTTTGCAGGGCTGCAATATCAGCGGTGGTATTACTCAACCCACCGGAAACGCCATTACCCAGGTAAATGATCTGCTGCGACTGCATTTGTCTCCAGCGCTCCGCTTTACCAATACGTTTTTGTTTTGCCTTCTGTTTGGTCTGTTCCCGCTTTTCTTTGGCCAGCTTCATACGGGCTTTCCGCATTTCATTCAGCATGGCTTCCTGGTTACTGTATTTACGGTTTTGCTCTAGTAGTGCATTCAGTTCCTGGGTGACTACGGCCTCCTGCCGGATCAGCGTTTCGGATAAAGTAGGTGCACCTGAAGATTCCCAAAAGCCAAGCCTTTGCATCTCTTCGAGGATATAACTGTCTTTAGAGGTCGTGCGGATACGGTCGTAGATCTGTTGCCGGGAAAGTCTTTCTGCCATAGGCTCACTGGTTTTAAGATAAAAAGCCCTGTTTATTGTAAACAGGGCTTGGATTCAGGACCTTCGTATTCTCCCAGGACTATATCAATCAACTCCAGAGAACATGTACTATGCGTACGGTTGAACTCATGGAGGAGGGAACCGTAACCGTACGCATAGTACGTGTTCTCCCCATAAAGATTGCAGGTAGTGCCGAATGTCAAATAATAATTCAGTGATGACGAAACATCATCATTTTCTTATTCAGAAAAAGCAAGGTATTCCCCGAACCCAAAGCGAATATACAGAATAATCATTAGGCCGGAAACCTATTGTTTAATAGGCAATTAGCTGGTTATGCATATTTTTTGCTGTTCTTTTTCCCCCGATTAAACGCTATATAGTAACCGGGTTATTTCAACAGCGTATCATACTTGACAGATCGTTTAAAGGCTTTTGTCTTCCCATCCAGCGGTTGGTCATCCAGGTAACCAAGATCTACCAGGTGAGCCAGCGAAAGTCTGGTACTCTGATGATATTTAAATACAGAGATTATTCAAAAAATATCAACGTTTTAAAATTCTGTTGACATTTTAGCACATATTGGCAATTAAATATTGGCCTATTAGAAAACGCAGACGCCCGTCGCCATTTTGTAGCTGGGGATCATTATGCGTCTTTACGCTTCAACAACCGGAACTCTATAGGTGTGATCCCTTCTATTTCCTTAAACTTCCTGCAGAAATATCTGAAGGGC